CTATTCAAATAATGTGAGATATTGTATAATGACAAATATACTCAATATTCGAAATGTTGATGCTAATTATTACACTCACCAAGAATAGATAACTCGTCTATTGTCACATCACTAAAGAGAGCTACTTCCATTTTGTTTGTTGATCACGTGACTGTTATTTTAATTTGAAGTTCGATTTCATGATAAAATGAGCCTCTTCACTGTCGTCACAGCGGGTAATTTTGTCGACTTAGCGGCCGCCAAAGGGCGCCATTGTTCGATTACACGTGTCCATATCGTCATTTCATTTAGCCGCGCAGGTAGGCACAGTCGCTAATATTGTACCCCTCTTCAATGGAGCTAAATGAAAATGTTTGGAAACAAACGACAGGAGTTGATGAACCCCTTCCGTTGCGCGGCCAAGTACAATGACACGGCAACACAATGAATACACGGTAGAAACTCAAGTAAAAGTTCCCCCGCCGTCTCCATTCTGTGTTTTTTGAAAAGGATTCGCAACAAAAGGTTTGGACACTGTAGTTGTGAAAGCGGTCGAGTGCGTGGAGTGGGGGCAATTTACTTGTTGTTAATAGTAGCAACATGCTCGATAAAATGGCTAGGGTGATATGCGACCTTAAATTCCCAGGTTCAAGCCCAACATATAAATCACTGTTACGGCCGCCTCAATCCCCCCTCCTCCCCAATATTGTTCGAACAGCCTCAAGAATTCCTGACCGCTGCCACGTCACGTTGCCCAATTAGCATAACCCGGTTTAGCAATATCACAAAAACAGAGACCATACACCCGAGCACTCCGCTGAGAGCAGGTTTTATTGCGTAGCTCGTCAACGCTGTCAATAATGTACTCATTGCTGTCCTCTGACCGTAAACGTGAGGCCAGGTGATAATGGCATTTTAGCTGAATGAAATTAAATTACTTTATCGTTTATAACTAGCTAACAAATCGGTAACGTAGTTTCAAACCTTTTTTCCTACACTTGATCGATTGTTTTATTAACGGTATTCCCCTTTGGTAAGTAACGTATTTACTCGTTCGCTCCCCACGCAAAATTCTATTGTCGTGGGTTCCTAGTCACGAGGAGCAAAACAGCCAGACCAAAAATCCGAAAGTCTTACACCATTATGAAAGAACTGTTACAGAACAATTTGTATTGACGAAACAATTGTATCTGAAATAATAATTATCGATTTTTGTTTTTTTAGTCCAAATTTAGTTTGTGTTGGTATCGAATGTCAATGATGGGAATATGATGCACACTGCCCCGTGTAATTAGTTCCGTATTCATGTTTGATCTACTATCGTCTCACCGGTTGAGTGTAAACTGCGGAACACTCGCACCCCCGCTGTTTGACGAGCGTTGTCGAATGTAATTGTCATTTAGGAACAGTTACCTTGCTCTGTGGGATCCCACTTGTACATGCCCTGTCATTGTAATGTTTGTTCGTGGTTACAAAACAATCGCTCGCATTTAGAAGAAATAAGATCAATAAGATGGGCAATCAGAAGACCGTTTGTGTTATAGTGTGTCAAGTTCGCTGAATACTATTACATATACATTAAACGGACGTGCACGCGTCAAGTTGTTTATGAGTCCGCCCTCAAAGGCAAGTCGCCGGCGTGTCTGGTGTAAAACATGCCTAAAATAAAACGCGTATTTCCCTTGTAATGTTTCTTTTAAAATAAAACGTTTTCACTTTACTCACCGTCACGTAACAATACTATCCCAAATTAAGACGCACGTGTTTCGTGGTTGTGCGTCTATCGGATATTTACCAGTACATCATGACTTCAAAAATAAATATGGGAACGTGGGCGATCCGCATAGTGCTGGTAATGGAACATTGTGTGAGAGGAAACGGCCAATAACTTCAATACCCCGCCCGACTACAACTGTAAGACATAGTGTCACCAGTGGGGCATTGGAGCATATCAGCACTTACAATACAAATGTTTTGGTAGAATACAGTCATTCTGTCACGGCGACTAGTAATTTGACTAATAAACATGTTCTGGCTCTATTTGCCTAATTCGCGGTGATTGGAGACGTGCCTTGCAGCGATCGTCACAAGAGGGTTGGTAATTAGGGTAGATAATTAATCCGATAGACGGAATGCCTAATTCTTAATTATCTCGGCTCATTATTTGGGTTACTACACAAGGAACAAAGAGTGTGGCTAAAAGTGCTCCGTATCATTCGGCACACAAACTACCTGTTCGCCAAACGAAGGTTAAGATGGATCTGTGATAAGAGTTTGATGTTTGTGCTCTCTCGTGCATGCTCTCTTCAAGGTGGATTCGCTAAGTATTGAGTGCGTTGAAGGGTGGGCGCTTTAAATTGATTTGATAGTACTGGGCCGGCGTACACTGGCCCATTAAAATGTCTCGGAAAATGCTGTTCTTTGCGCCGTGTTTAAATGGTCTCACACAGCTAGAGAGAATATTTGGAATATAGTTGTATTACACGGCGTGGTCATTATTCTGGAGAACATCAACAATTTGGGTTATTATGATGCAGTTTATAACTGTTCTCCGTAATAATAACAATTGTTTCCCTCGTGATTTGAGCGGGTATTAATCCCCTGGGCAGTTGCCATAAAAAAGCAGTAAAAAAATATATATAGATGGTCATCAATACTACAACGTTTTTTGGGGGAATGTTTCCCTATCACGACGGTGTACAGAGACGGTGCAAGAGTTGGGATTGCCGTCAGATGAGACCGAGTTCCAACCGAGTTTGATGTTCAATTGTTTATAGATGAATTAATCATAAATACACTGCTATTGTTTTAATATAAGCAATGTGTGTGGGTAATTGCGTCTCTTGTCGCGTTGCACTTGATAATCCGGTCTCCGCGAGACTTACAGTTTTGTTCGCCATAGTCGCTTTGCCGGTGGGTAAACAGATGAACTAATAACGTACAGGAAATCATCCCCGCGCTAAGACGAACAACCTGCGAAGTTTGTATAGAGAGAAAATTAGGCCTGCGGGGGATGCAGTATCGGGAACCGCGTGTTCTCGAAGAGTAATATCAACAATGACTGAAATGCCAAATAAAATTACATTAATAAACTAGAAAGTTGACCAGTTATAACACAAAAGAGGTGAAATCGAGTCAAATGCGTACAATTTTGCTTACAATGTGGATTTGGTTACAGAAAACAAAAACAAAGAGTGTTGCACAAATTCATATCGGGAAAAGTGATTTAATGTTGTAAAGAAAGCGTATTGAAATTCCATTCTCATTGGTCGAGTGCCGCGGGTCTTTGTCCTTATTTTGAATTATGGGAAGGCACGTGCCAGGCATGCGACCAGGCTTTAGACTTAGGCTCGTGTCTAACAGAGGTGTCAACTTGGCGTTTCAGATCATCGACAACAATTGGGGAAGATTGTTAATGTATTCAGTTCTTATGCTTGTTAATTAGCGATATTGGGTGTGTTTTAAGTCACAAACACGGCCACGCCTACTGTCTCATCTCTTTGACGGACACGAGAAAACCCTATACGAAAATCAAATGATCCGCTTAAGTAGGAGGGTCCAAGATGAGATTGGCGGATTGGTTAACGGCCGGTTGGTGCTGAATCAGAAGCTTAACTGGTGCTTTTTTCCAATGTACACGTCGCCCTTAATGCAAAGAGGTTTGCTCGCCCATGTAATTGGGCTTTTCACTGAGTCAGAATAAATTCATCAGGATTTTGGAGTATGTGTACACACCCGAACAAGTGTTTGATACTAGGTGAAGTTCATGTGCTCTGTCGCGATAATTCATCAATACAGTACTATACCTATCATCGGTACACGCACGCCCTGCTTGCATCGGTTTACAGTAAGTTTCACGGATCTTGTTTATTTTCCACCTACTAACAATAACTGTATTTTCCACAATTTACGGCGCGTCCACGTTTTCTTTCTATTGAAATAGCGTTCTCTAAAACTGCATATACGGCTTTGTCCACAATAGTGCGGTACAAGCCGCGAATTTCACTCTACAGTAACGAGTCGATGGCAACCATGGTCCGTATATTTGTATTTGAGTCATACCCACAGAAAATGACGTCATTCTGAGGCATACACTATGGGAACACGGTTGTCAGTGTTTTCCGCGTCGTGCTTCCATCATTCACGGCAGCGTGATCGTACCTGTCCCGTAGGCATTGGTGACAGTTACCATCATAAATTTAGGACTACAATTTGCTCTAATTGAATGGACTATGCTAACGATTGGGGGAAAGATTTACTGGCATCTTATATATTCGTGCGTTAAGGTTTATAAGCAAGGATTTATAGAGGAAAAAACAGTTCTTTTATTTATTAATCTCTTTAGAAAACAGCAAATGTTTTCGTCACTGGTTTGAACACAAACCTAATTATCTGTCAGTGGTACCATGGCAACGATGCAGATTGATTTTGACAGCTCGTTGGACGATAAGAGCTATTATTGTCGGTAAACTAGTCAGGTGGCCTTCTGACGGGAACCTTATCTTCGACACCCCGTTAGAGTTAACAACTACTATAAGCAGCTCAAATTAAAGAACTTAACGGTGCTCATGTTAAGCGAAGTTAATATCGTTGACACCGTAAAGATAGTCGCTTAACGACCGTTGCTATTGACGACGGCGTGAAATGAACGAGTCTAAGAAATGATTAATGCGTCTGCAATTACCTGCCTTTATTACGTCACTTTGTGTTCTAAGCCGATGATTACTAAATCCTTTTAATTTTTTCAAGTTCTTTTCAAGTTCTTCCAATTGTCACGTGACGTATGTGTGAGTGCTCGATTGCGCATTGTCGCGCTGTGATAGTCTTAATGGACTTCATTAAATTTGGCGTTCAATATTCGACTTGTTAAAATGTAATATTTTTAATATCATCTTTTTTCTTATTTTAACAGATCAATCGATAATAATTGTGAAAAAACAAGAGGTATCATCGCCACTGGCAGTGGGATCGAATTACTATAGCTTGGAGTGGATTTAATTATGCCCAGTGCTGTACACACGATGACTAAGATAAAGGATCAGATCATCGACGTGTACGGATCGGATGCGATCGAGGAGACTTCTGAAGGTGAGGAAATGCTTACCGATGACGACTGCGGGGATCCGTGCGGAGACGGCTCCAAATCATCGAAACGCGATTACACATTGCGCCGGCGCAGACAGCCAAGAAAACAGAAGCGAGACTCAGGGGAGAAACCGACACCGAAACGTCGCGGTCCTAAGAAGAAAAGAATGACAAAAGCCAGATTATTAAAATTCAAACAACGACGACTAAAAGCCAATGCCAGAGAGCGTAACAGGATGCATGGATTGAACGAGGCCCTGGATAATTTGAGAGAAGTCGTACCATGTTATTCAAAAACACAAAAGTTATCCAAAATCGAGACTCTGAGACTGGCCAAAAACTATATCGCCGCGTTGTCCAACATCTTAGAATCAGATACGGTGCCAGACACGGTTTCATTTGCGCAAACACTTTCCAAAGGTCTATCGCAACCGACAACGAACTTAGTGGCAGGATGCATGCAGTTAAACCCAAGAACTTTGCTACCGGAGTCAAGCTCATGTAAACAGTTCAATTTCAGTTTCTGGCCGGAGAAGTCTAATTTCGAACCAGCAGTTTTAGGAACCGTGGACAGTGGCAGCAACGTCATTCTCAATTTTTTGGAGGCTAAAATCAACGGCACCTTTGGTGCCGGCATGGACAGTGATGCTGGTAGCGGAACAGCATACAGTAGTTGCGACAGTACCGTTACTTCACCAACCCCCACCACTTACCATGGTCGAATGAGCTATTTTCCTGCTGTTTCGAAGGAAAACCTGGAAAACGTGCGCAACCCTCAACAATTGTCGATGAATCATCAAGATGTTTTTCAAAACATGGCCGCCCTGATGGCATCACCGACAGCCCATTTCATCCAAAACATGGGATTGAATCTGAACTCTTTACGAAAGATAGCCGAAGATTCTTCGTCGCATTGCGACATTTCTTTGGACGAGTTCATACATTATGACAGCCCTTCGTCGTTGGTTGACCAAGGCTATCTCATGGAAGGGGCGGCTGACGGAGTTTTTGATAACTAAATGTCACATACATACATGTGGCTTTCACACTTTATTTTTACTAGAACTTTTCACTTGAATGAACAGACTACACGTAAAAATATGTCAGCTGCAGACTACAAGCATTTGTCGAAAGGACATGTGTTGCCAAGTGCAATTTCTCTCACGGTACGCGAATTCCTCTAATCACATTCTCTGTGAAGCAACGCTATTCTAGAGAAAGCATATAGTTTCTTTTAAGTTAATTTGACGATAAACTTCTCCCGAGTGCCTTGAACAAAACGAGAAGGGACCTTTGACATTGCACTTTGTAACCACACAAATGCATTTGCTTTCAGTTTCATACCATAATCAAGTCAGTGAGCTCAGCCAGTGGATGGGACAATGGGACTTTCAATACGTATCGGGGCTCATAGGTGTCGTTACTTCTGCTCTGTTTAGTACCAGTACGACATTTGAAAAAAGCGCGTCGTGCCTGGTGTAGGGACAATGCTTTAAAAAGAACAATTTTTGCCGAATGATTGATCAAATCAAACCTTCGGGCGTTGTTATTTTTTTATTTCTCAAGAGCGATGAATTTAAACAGAAGTGAGTCAATAGTATATGTTCTCACATTTGACTGATGGTAACTATGGTGATTACTTGTGTGCTGCACTCTGCAATAGCGGACATGAAATCCGACCGTGACCATTTTTTGAGCCATGGAAGCGTAAATTTTAAATATGTGTGTATCAATTAGAATTCGGTGTGTTATTGGCGCAATTCTCCCTGGTGTATTATTATAGTTATTTTGTTTAAATGTGTACTGCTCCTCCCGGCTGTAAACGATTTGCATTACCGAAGATTATTTCAAATGTGCATAAAATTACATTAACTTCATGCAAATCATACTAAATTCGCAACGGATCATAAAAATTGAATCAAACACGACGATCATTTTAGATGCGTGGTTCTTAGAAAACGGTGGAATTTTGGGTTGGGCTAAACGCCTCTTGTCATTTCTAATGACAGAAATTAGGGTCTTTGTTGGAAACTACAAAGGCGATGACTGAGAACAAAAAAAGACATGAAATTAGTTGACGGTGATGGACCCATCTGTCGGTTTCGACTTCGAACCCCAGACCTCGGTGCGGTTTTACCGAGACCTAGTCCCAGGTGTGTACAACTCTCGTTTAATTGGTTGTAACTCCCAGCGTCGTATCTGGTGCGAATAAACATGAATAGACCATAATTTGATTATGCTAGAAAGAGCCTTCCGCGCTTTTGCTTAATCACATCGGCGACATAAATATTATGCCATCGTCGAACACCGGCGCAGTTATTCAAAACACGTAACTGAATAATATCCCCAACCTTTAAATATCGCTTGAAAAAAACGGTATTATAAGAGGGGCGGTATACGAACGGTACCCCAATATATCTCACTCGCATGCACCTGTTAATACGCCACTTATTCATATATTCCCCTGTCGTTTTGGCCATGTTGTCGACATCCCCTGCCGGTAAAATTCGCGAATTTCACGATGTTTAAACGCGTCAATTAATTTGTTTCTTTTCCCCCTAAAAATTGTACTTATTAATAATACAGTTATTACACGTTTGGCATATTAACGTATCACTTTACAGTAACCATGCAATTCAGCTTCGTAAGAGTTGCAGTTCAAATGGCCGCCCATTGTGCATGACAACGGGTGTCTCTTTATTACTAACGACAATCGGATGTGTTGACTTATTCCTGGAGCAGTCCTTCACCCACTCTTTGTTATTCATTACTTTTATCGCATCGATATGCCCGTCAATATTGTGAAACGTACCCGACACGTGGGGAGAGTTTCAATACAAGGAAATGCCGGTTGGATATTATCGTTTTATCTGTGACGTCACACGAAGTAGCCCGACGTCATTAGATTGTATTTTTCTGTAGAGGGTCGATAACGCACACAGTAGCGACCAGGGACACTTAAACTGATCACTCGGCAACAGAAATATACATATATTCCATAGTATGTATGTTATTGTCCTTTGCGCCACCGGCGTGGTTGTCTGTTTTCCGTGCAATGTTATTGTATACCAAAAAGAGTAGGTCCCATCTTCGTAACACAATACGAGGGCGCCTAACTGGGTGTAGTGTGATGTAGATAACATTTTAAATTTTTAAAATATGACTCCGTCATATAAAAACTATTTGTTCCGATTCGGACCCGAATTTTTGAAGGATTTACTTGAACGGGATTTAAAGTGACTCAGAAGATGAAATTGTGTTACTATAGTTACAAATTGGTTTATGTCGAAAGGGTTAATCTCAGTGTTTTACGGAAGCAATAACACGTTGCTTATATTCTGGGATTATTTCACAAATAATCACGATCCCTTTTTTAATAGAAAGTTGTTGATTTGATAGTTTTAACAGTATTTATATTATTTGTATTTATATAATTATTTATTTATTTAAATGTGTTTAAGCGTATTTACTAAACAGTGCATTTGAGGTCACCTTGAAAAGAAGATTTGTTGTAATTGTTTCAAAACTGAAACCCAGGTTATGGGAGTCGCCTAGAACATATTTTGTCCTACAACTTAGTTCAGTTCTTCATATATTTACTCAGTTTCAACCTTTTGGTTGCAAACGACGCATCATATGATACAGTCAAAACAAGTTAAACTTGAATGATGTAGTAGTTAAGTTTGTAAAGTTACCTCTAGGAAGTGACTTTTCAGTGCAATAGACACCTGCGTGCGATAGGAATCAAAATATGCAATATTTTAATGTACAATATCGTTTTGTTTATTTTTTTAGTTTTTTTACAAACCTGTTTTATAATGATATTTTAGTCACGTGTACAACGCGTTAGTTTCTAATACATTTGTTCGCTTTCCAACTTTTGGTGGCGGAGCATTTTATGACCCAGATATACGTATTTTCTTTTCGGGTTTTTGTTTTGATCACATTTGAATGACCGTAACAATAGCCCACCAGTGGTGCCTGACTGATCAATGTCTTAGACAAATTTAAAAAAAAAATAAAAAAACTCTAAAACTAATCATATTGATAAGCAATATCAAGGAAAAATCGACACTTTTTGAAATGATATTTTTGTCGCTAACTGGCACCGAGACCGAGACATACACAAAATTTATATATATATATAATCTATAATCTATTTTATGACATCCTATCTTGCTACGGTAAAACCGTGCATGTATATTTTTGCACACCTTCTCTCTGTTGTTTTTTTTTGTTTTGTTTTTTTATTATGTTTTTTTACAGAAAACGAACATAAATCATTTCTAGTGACTGTATTTTGACTAGAAAATGGTTTTCTTTTGTAACCTCTTCACAACTGTGTAAATTCTTGTATTTTTGCAGCATCTCGCGAGAAGCAAACGCGAGTCTATTTATTATATGCGACAAATGCCAATAAAATATACTTATTCATACTATTGGACTAATTGTCTACTTCTCTGTTTAATATATTCCAAAATATAATGTATGTGCATGTGTGTAATTACAGATTTCATCATGTCACAATTGCGTCATTTCAAAAATGTGGCGCGCAATTCACTCCTTTCTTCCACTTAAGTAAAACTAACAAACGATCGTTAGCGATTTACATCATGCTGGATTACGCACCCTGTTTTCCCCCGCATCACACTCGAATCTGTCAAAATATTGAGAACTAGTCTAATGTCATGATTAATCCTAAGTAACTGTACTCACCAACACACACCCCCCCCCCTCCCTTCGAAGCCGTGCCACCGACTATGGACATAATACTCGTGCACTGCCTTTGACTTCGTTCAATATTTACACAGTAATGTATTTCTTGTGCTGTAATACTGCCTTATATAGCAATAAGTCGCCAACATTCATTCCGTACGTGGCATTAGATCGAAGCATATAGAGTGTTCGGGTATCCCAGGTTCACCGTCCACCCGCCTCTTACTAGACCCTTTAAACACAGCGGAGAAAGCTGCCTGAGACGCGTACATTTAAAGGGCGGCAGTCGTCGTGTCGCGTCCATTGGAACTCATAGCGACGTACACAACGCGTGTAAAATATATTGCTTATTTACATGAAATTCGAAAACGCCCTGCGCGACGACCACTGCGCTTTAAATTTTCATTTGTCAACACTGCCAAAGCTTAATTTTCATAAATGGAAACCATATCTGGCATCAAAAAGACAATAGCACGCATGTGTACTACTAGTAACTGGCATCCCAATTATTGTGTGACTTATTATTTAATAATTTACTTAATAATTAATCTAATTACAACTGGTACGGAGTTGTTTGTTTGTAATTAGTAACTCAAACAGTACAATAAATCTTTGCAGCGAGTACTCAACTAGTGCGAGTCGTGGTAAATATCACTAAAGAATATATTGAAAAGTTTGATTTCGCGGAGAGAGCATACACATGTGTAGAGTCAATTAACTGCGGTGCGTAATAACGGTGTCAATATAGACCAACATTTAGCAAAGTAGTTCGCATCCATTGTTGTTCACCATTTCTCATCGCCAATCTACACTGTGTAAGAAAACGCCGGGTTTAACCAACATTCCACCCTCCCGCCACCCGATTGACCCATTCTCAATCCCATCAAACCACGTGCTATGACAGTGATGGACACAGGGAATAGATCTGTGAAAATAACATACTTATTTACGACTACATTATATATATTAAAGTATGAATAGTTCAGCAACACACTAGCTACGCAGCCACTCAGTAGTTTAGGCAACTGAACATCATCACTAAACCAACGAATGCTTCCACCAATCCAGTAGGCAACTGCGCTGAATTTGTGGCATATGGCAAATTGATCACGTGATGACAACCTCGGGCTAAGCCCCACCCTTTTTTCTAAATATGTGATTTCTACCGAAATGGAGATAGCTGGATAGTGGTTCATCTCAGGCATTGTATCACGTGACTGACAATGATTTTTAGAGGTCTTATAACAGGTGTGTTCATTAAAAACCGCTATAGCGATCGCCCCTTCGCGAAGACAGATGGGGG